GGGATGAGGTGGAGGGTGGGGGAGGAGGTCGTTCACACCACTCACTGTGTTTCATTCTCTCCAAATACTCATTTTTAATCATTTCATTAACCAGACATAAAATATATATATAAAAAAATTCAAAACATATTCCTTTATCTGTCAGGAATTTAATCCATGTATAAAGACACGTATTCACTACATAGTATAGTGTCTACATGCAAGTATTTTCTTGTATCTGGTGTGTACTTAATATCATTATTTAATGAAATTTACTAGGAATTTTACAGTTCAAACATAAGACAGCCTTATCATTATCATTTCATTTTGAGCCTTTGATCTAAATTAAATATAAATAATAAATGAGTAAAGAAATAAATTTACTTTAGGCCCATGGGTTATCATGTGATTTAAGGTCATGAACCTGAGCTTTATATCTCTAAAAAAAATAAGTCATTAGTCTTATTTTTTTATTTTTAATCTTATTACATATTTGTATATTTATAAATTATATAACTATATATGATATATATATATTATTATATATGTATACATATACAGTATATGATTCTTAATAATAACATTTATAAATACTTTTTTAAATATTGAAATATTGAATATATGAAGAAATTTGAACAGCATTTTGTCATGTTTTTTCACACGTTTTTCAAGGCTTTTTAGGATTGAATATATATAATATATATAATAATAATATTAATAATAATAATCATCATAATCATTTTATAGGATAGGAAACATTTTATTTTATATACATTATTTTCAGTGCAAGCTGTTATTATTAACAAAAATATAGCACAAAAATAAAACTGTATCTAGACCAGAGAAGAGAGAGGAAGAGACAGAGGAAGAGAGTGATGGTTTTACTGTGACGTCATTTATAACAGGGAGTGAGTGAAGTGGTTGATAAAATGAAAAAATAAAATAAAATAAAATAAAATGAGTAAAACCTGAATCTGAATCAGGTTTGAACAGATGAAAATTTAAAATAATAAATGCTGTCATCATTCAGAAAATTACATTTATTTCTGTCTTTTTTAAAAAAATCAATAAACCAGGAAATCAACCTTTGTGCTCGTGTGTTTGTTTTCTTTATGAATCCAGATTAAACTAAAATCACAGTGTCTGTATGTAAACAAAGATAACCCATAACTCTTAAACAATCTCAAATAAAAGCCTTACAAAAAAAATCTGCAATGTTTTATTTCAAAAGCCGGCGACCCCAAAATATTTATACAGGAGCTGTTTGTGGGCCCTGACCCAGATTTTGAAAACGACTGAAATCAGTGGTTTCAACCTCAAAACATAAAAAGAAAAAAAAAAAACAGGGAATTTATTTAAAATGAATTTTGTCATTTTGCTTGTGTTTTAAGGTCTGTCTTTGGTTGTTTTTCAATATTTTTGGGACAAGTGCGCAACGATCCAGTCTGTCGTTCTTCCGTCAAAAAAAATCAAAATATAATAATTATTATTATAATTTTAATAAAAATCGTCCTTGTTCATCATGGCCTTCATATCAGCGGCGCACTGTCCGTGGTCGAGGCCGTGGTCGCGGGTGTTGGCGCGCCGCCGCCGCCGCCGCCGCAGCTCCCGCTCATGATGACGCTGGTTTTGTTCGTGTGCTCACAAATGTCCAGAGTCCCGCGGTCGTGTCCCATGTCGGAGTTGTCCATCATGTCCTCCTCCTCTTCCTCCTCCTCGTCATCATCGTCAGGTATGACGGCCGCTGCCGGAACGTCTTCGCACTCGGACTCGCTCCGGGCCTCGCTGTCGCACTCGGACTCGGCGGCCTCCCTGGACTCCCTGCAGCCGGACTCGGACGCGCTCTTGTCGGCGGACTTCTCGTCCTTGTCCTTGTCCTTCTGGGTCTGTGCTTCTTTGGAGTGTCTCCACTTCATGCGTCTGTTCTGGAACCACACTTTGACCTGCACGAACACACACACACACACACACAGCGCTGGGTTTACGGCCTTATTGTTGGTGTTGTGTTCGTTTTTGTAACCCGTGTAAATCTGTGTTAGGTTCCAGGTTTGACCACAGCAGCTCTGCCACTCATGGCTGTCAGGAGAGGAGAGCCACTGTGTTCCATTAGAGACAGTGGATTTCTGAAGTCAGCCAATCAGCATCATTAAAAAAAAACATCTGTTTATCTCTATTTCTTATTGTATTTTTATTACTTTAATTCTATTTTTTTAAATGTGCTAACGTTGCGAAAAATCACTAAATGACATTGGCGTAGATTTATTTATTTATTTATTGTTTTCTGCTATATGTTGGTGTATTTAAGAATCTTCTAATTTTAATTCTAATTATTTTAATTTGCGAACAGGAAAATAAATATTTCACCAACTTAAAATATGGAAGATAAAAAAAACATCTCAGTCTCCTGGTCAACAAATTAGAATCAGAAAAAATATTTTATTGATGCCCAGAGACTCCACAGAGAAAAGAAGCAGTTAGTGTCAAAGCTAAAGAATTTTAGAATAAGAAAAGAAAAATAGAATTAAAACAGCTCGGTCAAATATTAAGAATTGCACAAATTCTGACCAAAATATGACACAGAAAATATTAAATTACTGAGCCATAAAATAAAACTAAAAAAATCTGTAAGTAATTACTTGAAAATTAATCAAGAAAAGTGATTTTAAGCCAGTAGTAGAGTTGAAATGATGAGTAATGAGTATATATATATATATATACAGTAGTGTAGTATATATATATATGTACTAGGTATAAAATGATCTTTTAGTGATTTTCCAGTGTAATTTTAATTTCTAGCTACTGAGAATATATCATTACTGAGTGAGTTATTTTTAGATTTTTTTTTATGAAATTTAACACATCACTAGGTTTATTATTGGCTTATATGAGACTAAGGTTAAGGATTTTATGTGATCATTTAGTTTTTTATTATTATTGTCAAACTGTTACTAGATTCTGGGCTTGATTTTTTCCTTTTTTTAAAGATTGGACATTTTTTCATTCAGTTTTAGTAATAAATGTCTCAGTATTTAATTATATTTGAAATTCTAATTGAACCATCAATGGCAAAGGTCATATTTTAAATGAGTAACACTAAAGATGTGGATTATTCGTCACATTATTTCAACATGTTGTTAAAAGCCCACTGTAAAAGAGCCGTTCCAGTCATTTCAGTCCTTTTTCCATTTTCTAACCCTCAACATTAGGAAACACCAGAGCAGGAGCTGGTGAGCGTTTGACTTCTACTTTTTTTTACGACACTACATCATGACTTCAGAAGCCAAGCAGGTCAAGGTCATAATTTAATTGGATGTTTCAGAGTGTGAATCAATGAAATCTTTGTGCAGACATGCTGTACGTGACGTGCCTGCGTCAGAGATTGAAATGCTGTCGGTTCAAAACGACACTACTTGGCCAGTGCAGCAGATCTGTGTTAGGTTTCAGGCTTGAACACAGGAGCTCACACATTCACCGCTGTCAGAGGAGGAGATATATGACATCAGAGATGCTCAGCTCCAGACCAGAGGCTCTGCTCCTGGCTGGGTTGGAGTTCAGACAGCTTCACAGTCCACAGTCTTTTTTTTCTCATGATAAGAAATAAAAATGTACTAATAAAAAAATGACTGGAAAAAATGTAAGAAAACGTTTTTTCAGTAGATAATGTCAGAAGGTTGCAGACATATCCAACATCTGGCTGGAGGACAGACTGAGGCACTAAGATGACATTTGTTTTGGTATTTTTCTTTTGATAATTAAGTTTATATTTTTCATGGCCTACTATGATGTCAGATAATACATGGACCTTTTTTCTGACCTTGTAAAATGTTTTAATGTCATTTTGGACCACAGAATGAGCCATTTTGCAAATGCAGTTTTGCAACTGCATTGTGGGTAAATTTAGACAATTCCTGGGCTAACATTTCCTTCCCTGTTTTGACCTGTTTTGACCTTTTTATAAACTTTGTTTATGGAGTAATTTGAAGTTTGCTTCTGCCTCATGGTTATTTTATTATTGATTAACATTTAATTCATTTACTTTATTTTTGGTAATTTCTTGCTGAACTATTTAATTTTGGCTATTTATTTATTGTTTTAGTTTTAGATAATTTTAATATGAATAATAATATATATTTTCAGATTTTTTCTACTTTACAGTTGGTAACTTACATCTGGGTGAACATTTTTCTATTTTCTTACTGTAATTTTATTTTAATAATTTCAAGACTAATTTTATTCTAGATATTATTAATGCATTTTTTCACATTAAGTAAAAAAAAAAGCTCTTTTTGTTTAGGTTTAGTTATTATGTATTATCCCTTATTTCTGTATTATTTACGTGTTTTTATTTTACCTTAAATTAGGTTGTTTTATTTTAACTGTAAAGAACTGGACGCATCATAAAAAGAACCAGAGCAGATAAACATCTAGTTCACCTCCAGGTCTAACTCCACACTGTGTGACTTCCTTTTCTCACCTGAGCGTCCGTCAGCCCCAGCATGGCCGCCAGCTGTTTTCTGTCCGGTTTGGTGACGTACTTCTGGATTTCAAACCTCTTCTCCAGTCCTTTTCTCTGCAGGTTGGAGAACACCGCCCTGGACCACGACCTCTTCCTCTTGTAGGTCTGTGGCATGGTGTCTTTGGTGAGGACGGCATACGGACCTGGAAGACAGGTGTGGAGGACGGACAGGCTGAGAAGGTGTTTCCTCCTGGGATGATGCTCCTGTCTGCTACAGTCCCACATGTGTGGACTACCTGGGAAAGTGTCCTGAAACTGATGCTGGCCTGATTGTCTGCTGCTGCTGCTGCTGCCTAGTGAACTCATCATGGAGGACGCGTCGCTCATCCCGGGGTCTATGGAGGAGAAGTACTGGCTGGCTGGCGGCTGAACCGGGATGTGGATCCCTGACTGACGGTTGGAGCTAATGATGGACGTGAGATCTGTTACAGAGCGAGAGACGATGGGCTTCAGTCAGTTAACTCAGGCAGATTATCAAGGACTCTGCTCAGTTTAACGGGATGTGGGCTCGGGTTCGTGGATTCGGGGGAACCGTGCTGGGATTTCCGAGCTGGAAACTAAACTCCAGCTGCACTGCTGCTGTTTGTAGCTGCTCCTGACCTTTGACGTCTCTGCGGAGGGAGAGGATTCCCCCACAGGACTCTTTAAAAATGGAGACGAGGCTGCTGAGCTCCAGCTACCAACTGAACCAGTCTCTCTGTTACAGACAGGGTAGTATGAAAACTGTTCAGCTCCTGAGAATATGCCGATAAATGACTTTTTTTTCCCCCAAAAAGCAATCTATAGAATTTCACACCACGTCTGAGGCTTAGATTCTGTCGTCAGCTGACGTTTAAAAGGTTTCACAGCCGCTGACAGAATTTTATGAGGTCGATGAGTTTTTTTTGCTACTCAGGTGCACTTCACACTAACGCAGATGTTCTTTGGGCCTTCGATTGGGATAAAGATTCTCACTCTCATCTTAAGCTACAGCTAGCAGTACACATAACACTCAGCAAATCACCAGTTTGGACAAAGATGAGCGCAGTAAAAAAAAAAAAAACACAAACTGGTCCAGGAAGTTATTACTCTGTGTTTCTGCAGGTGTAGACTGCTGGGAGAACCCACGCGGTGCAGTGAGTTATGACCACTTTAGAATCAGTGTTGTGTTTTTGTTCTATTGTTCTTGATCTACTTTTACCCTGACCTTTTCATGCCCAGGGGCAGAACAACAGATGCAGACTTTGCAAGAGATTTTACACTGTAAATATTATGGTTCTGAATATAATTTAAATACAATTTTAAATATCTATAATACAGAATGTTTTTTCTTTGGATTTTTTTTGTCTACAAATATGGTATTTGGCAACAGACATTTAATATTAAGTATAAGAAATATAATCTAAATGTAACGTTTTATATTATCAAATACTGGCGTTATATGTAGTAATATTTCGGTAATAAATTACTGCGCAACACTGATTCAAAAGTGGAGTTTTCCGATTTTCTCTGCGCCTCTTTACCGTTGGCATCGACGTAATAAAACAAGGTAAATTTAAATATGTTGGGGGGGGGGTTTAATGACAAAATAATTTTGAAGTGTAGATGATTTTCCTCCACTCACCTCTTAACGAAGACTTGTCTTTTCCTTTCGGGTCAAAATCGGCGGACAATATCCGATCAATTCCGAATTTGAGGTCTTTGCTGGACGGTGGCGGGGCTTGCTGGGAGTTAAAAGCAGTTCTGGACACTGAGGTCAACTGTAGTCCGTGTCTGTGGTACGGAGATGCCGGACTCAACCGCGCACCGTACACTGACGCGTCCGGCGCCACGGGCGAAGGGCGCAGCGGTGAAGTGCCCGAGTGCTGCTGCTGCTGCTGCTGTTGCTGCTGCGCACGCTGCTGCTGGTGATGGTGGTGGTGATGGTGGTGTCCCATGTGCACCACGAGAGCAGAAGATGCGGGGATGTTCTCCGCCTCTCCAGCCTGCAGGATGTCTGCGATGCAAAAGGAAGGTTTCTTCATGGAGTCCACGGCGAAGCCGCCCGCGCAGTACGCGGACCAGAGACTGAAGTTGGACGCGTAAAACGGGTTGAGCCCGGTCGTATACATCCCGGTGTCTGTAAGACTTCGACTTCGTTGTCTGTGTGTGTGTGTGTGTGTGTGTTAAAGCACAAACACGCGAAGACAGAATAAAGAGATGACGGTGTCAGGAGGAGAGGTCGACGTCCTCTCTGCGCTGGTGCCAAAATCTCTCTCCCAACTCTGAGATCCTGACCGTGGTTTCCACCGCCGAGATCCTCTGATGACACTGATTGGTTGGTTGCTGAACCAATGGCTGGCATGCATTCGCTCACACCGCGCGCACACACACACTCACACACGCATCACCCGGGAGCCCTCGAAGTCATTTTAATCCAGAGATGATGGATTGATCACTTATATATAAAGACAGACCACTCCCTGATTATTTTTTTACCATCCGTGACGTAAATGAGGAGTAATAAAATATTTGATTTATTTTAATGAACAAATACGTCGAATTATATTCATCGTATATATGTGAGAATACTTTTGAGCTGCATTTGTATCATCAAAATAAATGGCTGCACATATTTATGCAGTATTATAATATTATATCACAATAGTATTTAATAACATACTGTAAGTTCAGTACATGTAAGGTATCTTTTAGATTATATCATTTTAGAAAATGATTACTCCGTGCTTACGAGTTAGACAAAGATGACGTCAGCATGATGGGACCAAACGGTCAGCCCCGCCCCTCCGTAACCGTCAACCTTGAGAAATAGACAGATAGACAAATAGACAGATAGATAGACAAATAGATAGATAAAACCTTATTAGTGTATAGCTGGCAAGAAACCATGCTACTTCTGACCGTGCTGGAGAAGCTAATTCGGCTAACTGGTATGCTACAGTTAGCCAATTGAGTCTTTTTGTGGCTTCTTTTCCGGTTTTCCGCATATCCGGTTCAAATTCATCCGTCCGTTAATTCAGTAACGTAACGACTAAAGAAGCATAAAATAATTATTTTTTCTTTCTTTTTTTTGTAATTTTCAAAGTCAAGGTTAAACATTTGGTAATTAAACATGTGTTTTTTCTGTGATGTCCTTAATTAGTTTACTTTGTGAAATTCTACCAAATTTACTAACGGAAATACATCCAGATAGTAGAGGAAAATCCTATGGACCCTCTCCCAGTATCACCAGGATGAGTATTGATAAAATACTGCAGTACAGGCTAGCTCTTTTCGGCTAACAGTATTCAAATGAAGAGTATTTATTCCTTCTATCTAAATTGTAAAAACTAGTTATCGGAATTTGTAAAATATGTGTGTGTGTATATATACAAATAAAGCAGTACATCTGCTGTTTATGAGTGCGGAGCTGAGTCCCATCCTGTTTTCTAAGCTTCACTGATTGGTGTTAAATGAGCGGAAGTGGCCGCAGCAGAAATAGAAGCTGCTTCGATATTTTAGGAAACAGCAGAAATCCTTATTTCTTCCGGAGCAGAGAGAGGGAGCAGGAGGAGCAGGAGGGGAGGGGTCCACTTTATAATGACTGTTAGAACTTCCCTTTTCCAACATTTGTGCAACTTTATCTGCAGCCGCAAGTTGCGCGCTGACGCAAATCCGTCCCCAGGCTCATAATAAACAAAGGAAATCTCCCGGGCCTCCTCTCTTCACAGGACACACTGCATCAGGTCCAGAGAAGAGAGATGATTCAGTGTCACACGTCACACTCAGCGTCAGGATCCGGACTGAGATGTTTGATCAGAAAATAATAATCAACGTAATCAACGAGTTTGTGTCGATGGTGTTGATTCTTCCACTTGTTTACATTTAGATTTCTTGAACAGTTTTTTTTATGTATTAACTATATTCAAGTCCAAAATCCGGTGATGAAGATGTATGAATTTTTCCATTTAATTTGAGTGTGTTACCAAATATTTGTTCAACTAATTTAGTCTTTTTTATTGTATTTTTTAATTTTATTAAAATATGTAGATTTCTCGGAATTGTTGTATTTATTAACGATTGATTAACGTTGACAGTAAATACTTTTACATTTTAAACTTCATCTATCTGTATTTTAATTATAAATATTTTTCGTTCAATTTTTTGGCTTATTTTGCTGTGAGCTTCACATTTTCGTTTTTTGCCACCTTAAATTTTATTTTCAGTCTTTTCTTTCAATAAACGCTTTTGGTTTCGATTTTTCTTAATGTTTGATATTTCTTTCTGGTTTTTCGGTATTTATTCTTCGGTGATTCTCACACATTTTTGGCTTTTTGATTTATTACTTAAGTATCTTTTTTTTTTAGCTTCGGTATTTATTCTTCGGTGATTCTCACAGATTTTTGTCTTTTTAGCTTTTTTATTTATTACTTAAGTATCTTTTTTTTAGCTGTTGCATTTCTCATATGGTCGACTAAACCCGCAATTTTTGCCAGAGGTTTTGAACCGACTTTTAGCCACTTGGATTTAAAATATATACTGTGTATATATATATATATATAATTGTTTGCTTTTTGTATCTTTTTCCCTGACCAGTCTTTTAATTCAACAAGCTCGACGTGATATAAAAATAGCCGCGGCCTGGTTTTATTACGTTACTAATAAAACCACAGGATTCGTTTTCCACCAGATGAACGTGTTAAGAAGCCACTTCCTCCAGCCCCCAGTATGACAGGGGCAGCAGTTGGGCCTGGGGTATTTTTACATGATTCAATCCACCCCTGCTCTCCGTAATGCCATGTGTCGCTGGAACAATGGCTCCTGTGAAGTGCGCCCTTCATTTGCGCAGTGATTCACGCGCACGGAAGCGCGGCTGACCCTGAGAGTCACCTATGTTTGGAGCGGGGCTCCTCTCATGCTGTTTCCACTCACACTTTTCCGGCTTAAATTTAGAAATTCTCCTTTATCACGCAGTCAAAACAATCCAGGGAAGAGGATGTTGTAGAAGCCGTGCTGTTTTTTTCAGCTGCTGATGAGCTTTTCACATTACACACGCACGCACATACACACACGGTCAGATACACTGTATATATGATGACATGTGGCCTATATTCACTTCTGTGGCTCAGTTGCTTTTTTTTAGTGTTTAATGCAGGTGTTTCCAAACTCAGGCTGGAGGACTAAACATGGTACTGTCTACAAACTGTGACTAAAAACTCTAAATATATACAGTTTTTATCTAGGGCTTTTTCTCTTATTTATTGTTTTTTTATATTACTATTATTTTCACTTTACTCATTATTAATTGAACATTTTCTGATCTTTTGTTTTGCAAAACTCGGCACTGTATCGTAACATACTGTGATTTTGTCATACAATATGAATTATATACATATATGAATAATAAAGTCATTCTTTTTTAAACGTGGTTTTACATATACTTCTTTTTCACAAGTATATTTCCTCAGAGGAGAGAGTCAGAGCATAAGCCCAGGCATTGACACCAGCAGCTGTTCAACACACACTTCTGAAAGTGTGTGAAAGCCTTTCCTCTCATACCACATTAATGAAACCATTTTAAAAGCTGGGCCTTGTAAACGGAACGTGGTTAAAAAAAAGAGCAGATTTTTATCCACTAATC